TTCTTTCTAATTTTTAGTAGAGGCGGGGTCTCGCTCTTGCTCAGGCTGGTCTCGAACTCCTGAGCTCAAACAATCCGCCCGCCTCGGCCTCCCAGTAGGATTACAGGCGTAAGCCACCGCGCCCGGCCCTTTTGTTTTTTTTTAAGAAAGAGTCTCACTCTGTTGCCCTGGAAGAGTGCAGTGGCATCATCATAGCTCACTGCAACCTCCAATTCTGGGGCTCAAGCAATTCTCCTGCCTCAGCTTCCTGAGTAGCTGGGACTACAGGGGCGCCACCATGTCTGGCTAACTTTTCTATTTTTGGTAGAGACAGGGTCTTGCTTTTGCTCAGGCTGGTCTTGAACTCCTGAGCTCAAGCAATCCTCCCACCTTGGCCTCCCAGAGTGCTAGGATTATAGGCCTGAGCCACCACGCCTGGCCCGGTTTTTGTCTCTTAACTACAGTGGTTTTCTGGATGGGGATGGCAGGTTGCTTTGGCTAAAGACTTGGCTTCTAACTTAAAACTGTGGTCCTTAACATTAATCTTTTTCCCTAAAGAAAGTCTCTAGCAAACACCACTACTGATGTTTGAGAATACTTGACCATCTCCTTGAAAATAGGGATGCTAACACTTACTCCAAACAAAAATTCTAATTTGGAGAGGGCAGTGTTTGTCAAATGGAATGGATTTGACTGGACAGTGCAACAAAATGCTTACACACTTAGGTTGATTTAAAAAGACCTAGGTTTAAATCTTTGTTCTGCCACTGCTACCTGTGACATCTTCATCTCACAGTGCTTCAGTTTCCTTATCTGTAAAATGGAATTAATAACAGGACCTATCTTTTGGATTAGTTGAATTAGATATGGTAATGAGTGTAAAAGCATGAACACTATGCTGAATTTTTTGTTGTCGTTGTTGTCATTGTTGTTTAGTTTGTTTTTTTAGAGACTGAGTCTTGCTACGTTGCCCAGGCTGGAGTGCAGTGGCTATTCACAGGTGTGATTTTAGCATACTACAGCCTCCAATTCCTGGATTCAAGAGATCCTCCTCCCTAAGCCTGTCTCAGCCTCCCAAGTAGCTGGGACTTATAGGCATACATCACAGTGCTTGACTTATGCTGTTTTTAAAAAAATGTTTATTGTGAGTTATTATCAATTCTTTTTTACCCATTTTTCAATTGGGGTATTATTGTGTGTTTCCTATTTACTTTCACTATGCTGTTTATACACAGCATAGCAGGTGCTAAATAAATCCTAGTCAGTAGCATCGTGCTGGACCGATAATCAGTAACAATTCAACAGAACAGCACAGTGCTGATTTCTGAGAATACAGAGCTGCCTGATATCAGGCCCTTGCCCTAGTGCTCAGAGAACGTGATCCACAGGTTGCTGCAGAGGCCAATCTGAGGTTGCAGAAAGGTCCGGAGATGTATGATTGTTGAGTGAGTCACAGACAGGCACGACAAGAAAAGTGGGAGGGGCCTCGGTGGAGAGGTAACAGCTGAGTGAAGGCATAGTACTCTGAATCAGCAGACTGCACGAGTGAACAGTACTTGTTAGGCTAGTCATGTAACCGATCAGAACCTTAATTTCCTCATCTGTAAAAAGAAATAACGTCTACTTATTTGCGATAATGTGAGGATTCAATAACGTAATGTTTGTAAATATTTGTACTTAAACTGGGCACATCAACTGGCATAAAGTGTTCAATAAATGTTAGCCACTGTTACCATTATGCTTTAATAACACCTTATAATAATTGTAAACGGTGTCATTCCAAGAATAATTTATTCTCTGGTCGTTGACTGAGAACGAGGGTGACAAGGATTCATAAACAACCATTTTAGTCCTGAAGAGCTTTAAGACAAGGAGGCCACGGTTGGCTTCACAGTCCCGGACAAGCGGCAGCGTGACGTCCCCACGCCCGCGTCCGGGCCCCAGAGGGCCAGTGCAGAGCCCCGCTCCCAGGGTCACGTGGCCGGCGGCCCCGCCCAGAGCCCGCCGGTCCCCAGGGGCTGCGGCAACCGCGGCTGCGCCTGCGCCGAGGCGAGCGCGCTCTGCGGCGCGATCCGCGGTAAAGGCGGCGCGAACGGCGAGGGGGCGGCGGATGGCTCTGCGGGGCCCAGCGGGCCTGGGGCCCGGCTCTCGAAAGCCGTCGGACGAGGCGGTGGCGGCTGCCGAGGGACGCGAGGCGCCGGCCCTTGTGGCTCCGAGAGCCTCGCCGGAGGACGATGAAGAGGACGATGGCCGCGGCCGGGGCCTGCTGCGCTGGGACGGCTTTTCGGCCTGGCTGCACTGCGTGTGTGTGGTGGGCTTCGACCTGGAGCTGGGCCAGGCCGTGGAGGTGAGGCCCAGCCGCACCCTGTCTTCGCGCTCCGCCCCTGCGCCGGGGCGGCTCCAGCAGAGCGTGTGGTCCGCGGGCCGGCTGGCGGGCCAGGACCCCATCCGCCGCGCATCCGGGCGTGGCCGGCCTCCCCTCCGCCAGTCGGCCGGGCTGCGGTCCATAGGCAGTTCCCTTGGGAGGATCTTGGGCTGCGGTTAGGGTTGAAAAGTTCTCTCTAGGCCCCTCCTAAATACTTGTTGATGTTCGTCTTTTTTTTTTTTTAAACCCGGAGTCACAGGAATAAGTAAAAGGAGTAGCATCAGCGGCAGAAGGCTGCAGGCAGGATATTTGGAACTTTTTCAAGAGGTGAACAATGCCCCTAACATTTGGTGAACTGTACCAAACTTGCACAACCAACTTATTGCCCATCGATTGTTTTGGTCATTTGCAGTAACACAGAACCTTCCACTCAGCCTGAGAGGAGTTGAAATGCTCATCTCAGCATGCATTTTCTCCCTTTTTTCTTTTGTTCTTCATTTCTGTTATTTCTTGATGTTGCTTCTGGAACACTTGGCCTGAAAGCTGTCAAAGATGAATATAGGAGAAATAGTTTGCTGTGATTCTGTCAAGCTTTCTATCTTTATGTCACCTTATTGAAAGGCCTTTGAATCTTATCCATTCTTAGCATTGTTTAGGGTCTTTTTTGTAGCATAAAAGATTTCTTGTCTTTATGTGTCCAAAAAAAATGTTATCAGAAGGATATATGTTAGACGCTTTTTGTTTTGTTTTTTGGTGTTGACAGATTTTAATGTCATTCTCACTGTAGTGGCCTGATTGACTAACAGAATTGGCCAGCAGCTGGTTCGTGCCAGTCCCAGCACTTTGAGAGGTAGAGGTGGGAGACTCTCTGGAGCCAAGGAGTTTGGACCAGCCGGGCAACATAGTGAGATCTCGTCTTTACAAAAAATTAGCGTGACGTGGTGGTGTGGGCCTGTAGTCCCTGCGGCTGGGGAGGCTGAAGCAGGAGGATTGCTTGAGCCTGGGAGTTCAAGGCTGCGGTGAGCTATAATGGGGCCATTGCACTCCAGCCTGGATGACAGAGCTGGACCCTGTTTCAAAAACAAAAAAAAAAGAAAAAGAGAAAATTGGCCAGGAAAGTTTTTCTTAATGTGAAGTTACTGCTTTTGTATTCAGCCTGTCTTCTCAGTGTTTTGTCATAGCATAATTCAACAAACATTAAGTTTCCACTAAGATTATGGTATTATGGTAGTTGCTTGGCATAAAAATATAATATAATAATATGCTCTAACCTATATTTGTAGATTGATGGAACAGTTTAGAAGAGAACCAAGAATTAATAATAGTAGCTGAAGCTGACAGGGCAAAATGCAGTGCCTGGCACCTAGTGGCATTCAGTGAATACTTGTTGATAGAATGAGTAAATACATGAGCAGTTCTTTATTGAGGTTGGAAAAACAGTCCCCAAAGACTTTGAAGAAGATATTTATAAGCCATTTATTATGTACATCAACATGTTAACCTGAAGTTATATGTACAGCAAAATATAATTTAACCAGAAAATACAGGATTGGGTTGTTGTAGCTGATTGCATTTTTAAATAGCTAAAGGAGATCCTTTTGGATTCTCATCATTTAGGACATTCTTTATAACATGAGTATATTTTTTTAACCAAATAAACAGAATTTTTAACGTAGTTGTTGTGCTACAGAAATGTGAATCATTAAAGGACTTATTTTGAATTTCATTTCCCATAGTATATGCTACTGTACAGAGTTTTCTTTGGGTCAGTATTTAACTTTTTTTGCTTCCTGGATCTTTTAAAAAATATGATGAACACCATGAAATCTTCACTAGGAAAAGGCCTGCTAAGACAAAATTATGTATATGGTTCCATGGGCTGTCTGGGCTTATTTATGGACCTTCTATTCCATTGTCCCCAGATTAAGAATCACTGATTTTAGAAAATGTAGGATGAGGGTGGGGAAGATTCTCTAATAAAGGATCTAAAGAAAGATAAGCATATTAGATGAAATATAAAACAATTTTGCTTTGTTTTCCTGAGGGAGAAATGTAGAATATTATACCTTGTCACTTTTAAAATGAAGAAAAAGGAACTCAAATTAGTAGCTAATATAAGAAAATAGTTGAGAAATATATTTCCCTTTTGTATTACAGCCATATCTGTGTTGAAAATGGAGAGGAAGGGTGGCTGGAATGGGACAAGAAGGTGAGTGTAGAATTGTGTTGGAGAAGTGACATGGTAGCCCCAGCCCTTCACAACCAGGGGGGCTCAAGAGAAAGATTAATTAAAGAATAGGTGTAAGTTTGGGCTGTAATATCCTAGAACCCACTTGTCTTATCAGAAAGGCAATCGTTGCCTCTTAGACTTCAGAGAGACTTAAAAGGCTGTTTTGCCATGAGAAAGTATGCATTTGTAGATTTCAAACAAATGCATAAACAGTGCCACTTGTTTGAGCTTAAATCTCCGCTAAAGAGACATTATAGAATATTGATCAAGAACCCAAACTCTAGAGCTGGGCTGCCTAGGTTTGAATCCATGTGACTTTGGACAAGTTACTTAGCTTGTCTGACCCTTACATTCCTCCTCTTTATAACAGGATAACAGTACCTATATCATGGCATTGTTGTGAGGATTAGGTAAGTTAGTGTTAGTAAAGTATTTGGAACAGTGCCTGGGACATATTAATATTAAGACCTATTTAAGTCTGTATTTGGGAAGCATTAATATTCTAGAAATTTCCTTTTTCAGCGGAGAGAAACCCCTGACTTGCTTTGTGAAATTGGGCCTTAGTTTTCTCACTTGTAAAATAAAATTGAGGTACTACAATTAGTACTTTTTTTTTTTTTTTAGTAAGGGAACTTTCCCCCCTTTGTAAGTAAAAATCTAATATGGAACCTTAATGACTAATCTGTTTGAAATAGGGCCTGTGTTTTGTATTTGGTTGTAGGCAACAGAAGCTAATTTAAACTAGCTCAGGCAGAAAAGGAGCACTTGCTGTAATGACACAGAGGTGTTTCAAGCTATTTAAGGCATAAACCTAGTGGGACTTCAAAAAGGTTTAGAGCCCAGACCAAGGAAACCTTTTTGCTCTGGTTTTGTGGGTCTCGTTCATGCTTCATGCTTCATGCTTCCTGCAAACTGGCTTCCCCTGCTTCTCTGATCTCTCTGGTGGGAAAGTTGCCATTTTTTCCAGCCACTTCAGTGAAGAGATTGAATTTACTCTATTCCAGATACCAGAGGAGGGTATTCAGGCCTGGTTTGGGGTAGGTTCCCACTCTGATATAATCAGCTGAAGACTTGAGTGGAAGAGGGAATGGTTCACCTTGCATAAAATGTCTGTTGAAAGCCCTATCCTGAGTGAAGAGGACCTTGAGGAGGTCTTTTGAGCTGGGAAGATACTGAAAAAGGTGTTGACTATGGGGAGGGGGGCGGTGCTTAGCTTCCTTTCTCCTGAGATGGCGTTGGAAGCATTGCCACATAATCCAAGTGTCCTCTGAAACAAGGTTTGAAATCCCCTGGATTTTATATACTTTGTCACTTCTAACTTTGAAATTACCTGATTATATAGTAAAGTCTTAATTATCTGAATCCAGAATTACGTTTATTCAAGTTTTTTTTTTTCTGAGTAATAGCATGCTCACTGTTGAAAACTTGAAAAGAAAAGGAAATTATAAACACTAGAAAATACCACTCCTAATTCTACTGAGAGGCAATTGCTATTAATATTTGGCATTTTGTTAATGCTTTTTTTCCTTTATGATATAATTTTGTATCGAGGATTAATTTGATTATTAGGAACAGAAACCTCTCAAATAAATATAAGTAAAGGGAGATCAGTTGTGAGAATTCTAGTCTGTTGGAATCCAAGTATAGGAAGCTGAGATGAACCTGTAGGATTTGGAAAGCCCCAAGCTTTGCCTTTGTTTCTGGAGCACCGTGGTCTTTTATCTCTGCTTCTTTTTGCAGGTCTGTTACATCCTCTGTGCAGAGGCTGGTTTCTTCTGCAAGGGTCTCAGTTTCTGCTCTCTCATAACATCTGCTTGACTTTGGGTTACCATGGTACTGATTTTAGCTAAACTCTACCTTTATGGAACCAGGATGAAGCTAATACAAATAGCGGAGCATCTGATTGGCTCAGCATGGGTCAGGTGCCCCCTTTTGTTCAGTCTTCTGTAGTCTGGATACAGGGTTGCAGTAGCAGTAGTGGCAACTTAGGCTCACTCCTGCAGTGGGAGGAGGGAGTACTTCCAAAGGATGGGCTGGGCAACAGTCCCCCAAACATGTCTACTGTCAGAGTTTGCTTTTATTGATAAATATTTTCATAAACAGTTTGCCAGGTCATTAAAGACTCTTCATAAATATAATTTTATGGACCATTATTTATTTAATTGTTTTTCTTAATTTGGATATTTAGTTTTCCTTTTTATACAATGTGGAGGGTTATTTGCTGCCTATACACACATGTTGGAGATATTCTGCATCTTTGAGGGTCTTTAAATCTCTTCAGCTCATAGCAGGTTGATATGTCTATAATTTGAGGTCACCTCCTGAGCCACTCCGGCCCCCGGATTTTATAAGCATTGAGGCATTGTTGATGGCTTTCTTCCTCTTGAAGGCTATGACCTATCAACCTCTTGGGCAGAATTTCAGTCTAGTGAAAAGAGCACAAACTGTTTAGTCAGCACATTTGCTGGTTGTCTGACTTTTGGGCAGTTTCTTTGGCTCTCTGAATTTCATTTTGCTCTGCAATAAAATGGGAAAATACTATCCTGAGAGTGTTGGAGATATTAAGTGAGATAATGCATGCAAGAATTAATGCCTTTCATTTAAGGCATATCCAGTATGTTAGTCCCTTTTATAGTTAGTGATTTTGCATATTTAATAATCAGTGTGGGACTGTTTTGACTATTCCATTATTTGCCTTAAATTGATCCTTTTTAAGATACTCATCATATGTGAATCACCAGTATTAAAAGCA